AACGATGAATAAGATGATCCCAGGCTGCATGTCTTTGTTTAAAATGTAAGCTTAAAACCAACATTTATCGATTGGATTACGTGCACCAATTTGCTTAGCTAGTTTTCGAACTGTTTAAAAGTCAACACTGCGTTGGGCCGCATCCCAGATTTACGTCGTTGTAATTTTGCTCGCGAAAGATTGCCCTTTTCTCTTGAAGTTTATGATCCTGTTTTGGTGGGTGAGCTCCTTACTTCAGGGGCAATTCAATGAGTTCTTCGGAAAGGTGGGTGGTGCCCCTTTCCGTTCGGGAGACTTTTCGGAAAGGTAAAATGGAACTTGTCATGGATTGTCTTGGAATTCGCTTTGGAAGTCCTTCTTGGAGAAGTACAAATGCAGCATTTCCGTGCCATTAAACCCTCCCCACCTTTTTAATGGTCCCCAGTGGAGAAATTTTTTCCCGATTGCCAGCATGGCGGCTGCCCGGGCAGTAAACGTGTTTGTGTTGGAGAACTGTATATTTGTTATGAGTTTTATTGTAGGGTTTTGTGTTATCTGACTGCTATTCCTGCTACAGAGCCTCAGTGTCGAAAAAAGACTCGCCTACAAGGAACACAACAGCTTCATCGCATGAAAGTGGGTGCAGAAGTTACAAGAGCCTTCGAACTATTTAAGAGGTGATTTCGACGTTGATTCAGGCTTTCCATTCAGCTTCAACATCGATCGTGATTCTGTGGCATGCCTGAACACTCATCATTGTCGGCTGCGGTTCCTTGATCTCATGAAAGTGGGTACAAAAGTTACAAGAGCCTTCGAGCTATTTAAGAGGTGATTTCGACATTGATTCAGGCTTTTCATTCAGCCTCGACATCGACCGTGATTCTGCGGCATGCCTGAACACTCATCATCGTCGGGTGCGGTTTTTTGGCATGCCTGAACGCTCATCATTGAAGGCTGTTGCTGAATCGATCGACTACTTGACTAGCCTGGACGCGCGCCAGTTTCAAGAGGACGCAGTTATTTGCTCAATTGTTTTCTTTGAGTCCAAGTTTAAGTTTCAGCAACCGAAGGCAAAATAAAAAACCACGGATCAGAGAAAACGGCTGAACTCGTACATGTTTGACAAATATATGGCTTTTGACGCACCAATTTTAGCTCGAAGCCTGCGTAACACTTACGGGAACCAGAGGGTCTGGTTTGAAAAACCTCAATCAAATATCTTTTTTTCTCGCTTTTCTCCGCTACATTTTGGCCAAACATATTCAAATTTTCACTTATATTACTACGTTCAGCAACCTTATGAGTAGTACATTACAAATATATACGTATCGCGATATCTCAAATATCGTACCGAATGAAACATGAGGCGGCCTGGTGCAGCACATTCAGTTGCCTGAAAACATCGAAACTGAGAGATTCAGCTGAGTTCCAGGTGAGTATTCAGCAAAGCCAAGTTAGTTTGCTGAGTTCGTGCACTTCGGTTTCAAGTGGAACATTGGGTTGACGAAAACTCGGGGGTTGTGCCTAACTGATGAGCTCCAAGAAGATGGAACCGGTTGTGAGCTGTCGAGGAGTGTTCAGCAACCTTATGAGTAGTGCATTACAAACATACATGTATCGCGATACCTCGAATATCGTAGCGACTAAATCCTTCCTAGCTGAGATTGTGAGGAACAAGCGCCTCGCAGCATACATTATATATCGTTTGTGATGTTTCCGAGAGATTGTACTACGTTCCAGGGGAGTCTCTCGCAAAACCAAAGTTGTTTGCAAGTGAGTGCACTTCGCTAGCTTTGTGCAATTTGGTTTCAAGTAGAACATAGGATTGACGGAAACTCCGGCATTGTGCCTAACTGATGAGCCCCAAGAAGGGCGAAACCGGTCGTGGGCTGTCGAAGAATTTTCAGCAATCTTATAAGTAGTGTACTACTTATCTCCATAATATCCTTTATTCGTCACGTGTTTCTCATTTAAGTAAGCCTCTTGGCTTTAGACAGTGATGCGTTTGCCGGTTCACTTCAAGTATGTACATGTTTGCTTAGCGATTCAGGTGGAAATTTCATACACGATATCAAACTAATACAGTTTGATGAGATCTGGTGCGTATAAGATCCGAGCAGAATGACCAGAACAAAAACTTGTGTAATCTGGTGTGCGTTTTCAGATGGTTACGACAGTGGCATGAATTTCTCCACAAGTCATCAAGGTGAGAACTCAGTCCCTCCCCCAGTGTGTATCTGGAAAAATCGATGTAGTGTCAGGGGTACCGTGACGATGTGTGCTAATGAAATGGCCATAAAAAAATAGCACTTTTTGTACGCGACTGATCGTTTTTATGGAATTCACCAGCATATAACGCGAATCAACTGAAGTCGAACTTTCTATGGACTTGGTCAATCGATCAACACAACTAAGATATGTTACTGGGTCGTCGTTCGAGGCACAGTGCTTCCCACTCACGTCACACAAGTGCAAACTTTTTCACCTGTTCGGGCGCAAAAATTCAGATGCGTCCAGCGTGTGCTGGTAGTGCAGCAGATGTGTGGAGTTCAAACCCCGACACGGCCATAGGACATGCACAGCTGATTAGCTCTATGAGCGAAACTCGAGTCTAGAGCCTCCTCACTTTGATGAAAACTCACCTGAATGACTATGTCATGACAGGAGGATGGCTGTTCAAAGGAGAGTCACGCGAGTGTACATCCAATAAGGATAACAGTCACAGCCGTGGTACACATGTGGTGTTGCCTGTGAAGGTAATTACAGACAATCTGGAAAATGTCTCCGACTGACAGGGTAGTCATCGATTCAGAGGTTTGGTAAACAATCGGTGGATTTGTTGCTGGGCGATGCTTTGCTTTGGACACAAAAGCTTTGTCAGATCAAGTGAGTAAGTAACCAGGTTGATCGGATTCTAAGGCAATCAGGGAACCAATCCGTGAAATTTCTTCTGACTAGCCGACTTGATCTGTGCTAGATGTCGGTCTGAAATTGCTGTTTGTTGGTTAGAGGGGATTGTCTTCATGTTGAAACTGGATTTTGCGGCCTTGTTTTTCCTGTCTAGGACACCTCATGAGAATACTCCACTGTCTACCAGAAATCAACAGATAGCGATGTTGTCTTAAACTACTCCTCAGTACACCCAAAAGCAGTATATACTATCATAGTTTCAACAATGTTTAGCAGAGTAACAGCACTGTGCACAGAGGATATCGGCTAAAGAATAGCACAACTTGAGGGATAGCGGATACACAGTGGGTTTACTGAGCGCCAACTAAGACGGATATTGGTCCCAATACCAGGGCCCAAAAAGGTGAGGACATCTGAAGTCATTTAAGGGTGCTGAAAACGGTTAGAATTAGAGCAGAACTCCAGAAGGGAAAACTTCACGCTCGGTGTTAGTGCAGTGGAAGGATCGCCTTCTCCTTGATAGAATCAGGAACTGTGTATACGAAATAAAATATGACGATTGTACGAAGGTTTGTATAGATCAGACAGCCAGGGAATTGCACAGCAGAATCGGTGAGCATGAGCGATGCATTAACAGACCACGGAGAGGCTAAGATGAATATCAGGCGATAGTCAAAGATTCAGCATTGGCATGGCATGCACCAGACACTGGGCAAAGGATAGATTTGGAACATGCAGACATTCTGAGATGGGGACTAAGATTCACACCATAGTGACTAGTGACCGAGGCGGTGGAAATCTCCATGTATCCCAGTGTGAATAGAGTAGGGGGGTAGAACTGGCAAGCGTCTGAAGAGCTGTTTTAGATCAGCTGAGGTGACACGAGGCGGTGTGCGGTTATCAGCAAAATGATATAGGTCTAAAAGTATGACCAAAGTAAGACCAAATCAACCACCCCCAACCCCAGTCGAATTGTCCCGGCACCCCTCGACACACACAGGTGAACTAATCTGTGAACGACCCCTAAGAGGAAAGTTCCAATAAAATGTCTTAGGCCGGAAAAACAAGGCCAAAAAATCCGGTTCCTATATGAAAACAATCCCCTCTAACCAACAAACAGGAACTTCAGAACCACATCCAGCACTGACCAAGTCGGCTAGTCAGAAGAAATCTCACGGATGGGTTCCCTGATTGCCTTAGAACCCGATCAACCTGGTTACTTACCTGATCTGACAAGGCTTTTGTGTCCAAAGCGAAGCATCGCCCAGCAATAAATCCACCGATTGTTTGCCAAACCTTTGTGAAACAATGGGGCCCTCTTTCCTTCATCGTCCTGCGGTCCAAGCGCAACTCTCCAGTCAGGTTGTAAGGCTGTCATGCCGTACAAGGCTTTTGGTGGGTATTAGTTACTATCGGACACAACAAGGCATGCATGAACATCTGACATCCCCAACATCACAGTTTCTCTGTCCTGACAACTCTAACGGAAGTCTTCTGCCCTCCTAAAGCATCAAATTAGTTGTTTGGGCTATCGTTTGTGAAAGTACAAAGCATCAAACCGGATGTGAACGTGATATTTCCATGACACTATGTCCGCCATTCGCTCCGCTTTAGAAACCCCAATTTTCGCTTGTCTAATCGATTTTACTGCGCGGTACCCGTGCACACCCGACAGTGCTTTATATCTGACTGAGTCGCCAATCTGTTATATTTGACTGCTGTTCACACTCCGGTACCAGAAAAAACTCGCCGACAAGGAACACAACAGCTTTATTGCAACAGGCGAGAGCGTGCGGGCACCAAAGTTACAACAGCCTCGCCCTTTTTTGACACTGGTACAGGCTGTCTGATAGGCGTTTAGTGAATACCCATCAACATCGATCATGAAATGCCTGAACGCTGATCACATTAGGACATGCTTCTGTGGCATGCCTGAACACTCATCGGCCTTTACTGAATTAATTGAATGATTGACTGACCTGGATGCTTGCCGGCTTTTCTGTTGAGATTTTGGTGGAGCAGTAGGTTCCGGGAGTTCTGAGGTCACTTTCAGGAATCTGACCTTCCTGATATAGTGTGACCACGTTCTACTACCGCTAGACTGCTTTTTTTTAATCAATCGTGGTGGGACAATCCAGACATGTCTGAATGAGTGGGTCCGCGACAGTACGCATGGCTAAGCTGTCCAAACTGTTTTCATTCACCACCGTCCATTGTACGCTTGGACTGATCTGAACGGAAAATAGGTGAGAATATTGTGTTGGGACAATGCCTCGTTTGACGTGTCCCTTTCTTAATAAATTGCCGGAATTTATGGATGCGTTCACACCACCGCGGGAGAGGCGCAATTCTATCGCTTTCTTTAATTTAGAATCGTACATTTTGACTACCGTATTAAGTACAGTGTAGATGTTTTGTTTGTATATAGACCAAGAAATACATTACAGCGTGGTTGTGTAGAAATTTATCTACGGAACAAAACAACTCGAGAGATCACTAAATGTGTTATTTATGGACGGAACACTGAACAATCCAGACTGCCTGACGTTTGCTTCATATATCATGGATTTTCAGACAGAGCGAAAAACACCGAGGCACATTCCATCCGTGTGAAACCCCAGGAAATGATTTGAACATCACTTGTGGTTTGGGGAACTTCCTCAAAGAGGTTTTTGCTTGGTTTTGAACAAGCGTCATAATTTGTTGGGAAGATGACAAGAAAACCTGTACGTAATGGTTGTGGGATTTGTAGAGTCCACAAACCCATCAATATTTTTGGAACAACCCTCTTCCTGTTCTGGCGAATCAGTTCTGGTGAGTCCACACCAAGGGAGGGGGAAGCAGTAGGTTCAAGTTTCACTCTTATTAGAGCTCATCAGCAGTGCATATTCAATGGCCGTGCCGGGACTCGAACCCCGGACGTCTGACTCGCGAGACAAGCGTGTTACTGATGCTCTATCAGGGCGCAACAAACCCATCAATATTTTTGGAACAACCCTCTTCCTGTTCTGGCGAATCAGTTCTGGTGAGTCCACACCAAGGGAGGGGGAAGCAGTAGGTTCAAGTTTCACTCTTATTAGAGCTCATCAAGCAGTGCATTTCAATGGCCGTGCCGGGACTCGAACCCCGGACGTCTGACTCGCGAGACAAGCGTGTTACTGATGCTCTATCAGGGCGCACTGGACGGCGCAGATGGATCATATTTGAACGTCCCCACGCTTCAGCTAATTGACTGGTGAGCCCTCGATTCTAGTTATATTTATCTTGATTCTGACTCGGCAGACTCATTTGGACAGGCTTAGGACCGTTCAAACGAAAGTAATATGAATATGGATAGTCGGGTAATCGCATGCCGTTCACATAATTCTCACCTGATAACTTCCACGTGATGTGAATTCCTTAAATACTCATTACAAAGGAGAACTGATCGGTTCTGAACGAGAATGCAGTGCGTTTCAGGTAGCTCTATCAAGATTTGTTAATCTGAAGCCCAGACCAAAAGTTCGCCTCCACTCAAAGTAATCAGATCCCCTCATAGCACCATCAATCTGTAATTAACTCACAGGATGAGTGAAAAATTCAGCTGAGAAGTCGTTACTCGATGACCATGTGATTGCAACATGGGTGGTATTGATCACACTGTTGACCAATCACTCGTAGCCAAACGGTTAAACGTTCAACCACTGCTTGAAAAGTTGTGGGCTTGAAACGCTGAGCTTCTTGAAATGGCTCGCAATTCTCGGCTTCTAAAAATAGATCAGCTTCTATTGAAAATTACTGAATCTCCTTAAACCACCATCACTAAAAGCCTATATATCGATTTAAATTCGAGTCAAGTATGAAAAAGTGCCTGGTGTGTTTCATCGATGCCTTTTCAAGACCGACCACTTGCAAAAACTCCAGCTCAATTGTTCGACAATAGTCATTGCAAGAATCAAGAAGAGTTGGGCGCATTGTTCTGGCTGTTCTCTAACAGGTTCTCAACAGATTTCGACGCATCTGCTGAATGAAACGACTTTAGTTTATACGCTTCATGGGCATATTTGAGTGACGTTTGCTCGAGTATGCTTTATTCGAGTACGCAGATCAGAGGACCGAACTCCTCAACACCAATCTCTACGAAACGCGAACAGTCTCGCCTTATCAACGCTGTAACAGACAGGTCCGGCGTTGTCAAAATGCATCAAGCGATTAATGAGGTTGCAAATCACTGCGGAACATTTGGAAACATACAGGTTGCGTAAAGTACACCCATCCGATAATCCTATGCACTTTAGCAAGATGGAGACCCTGGAGCAGGTCTAGTGAATTCTTGCTTAATTCGGAATTGTTGTGTGAATACAAACTGTACAGTAGAGTAAGAACCTGATGATGAGTCAACTTTTCTCCTGATTGCACGAACGCAAAACCGAACGGCCCATTTTTAGTACAATATAGTCGGTTTATATGTTGTGGACGGGATTAACATACTTATTAGTATCTAATATTATAGTAATCGGGCAGAAAATATTTCGTAGAGTTGTTTGATTCCAAATTTCCTTTTCGCTAGAACCTGAAATGACAGGAACCAAGTTTATGACAAGAGAGAGAGAGAGATAACATGGACGGATTCCCCGAAAAGAAATCCAATCTTTGGGAAAATAGCTTTTTTGGGGATTCCTTTTCATGGTGCCTCCACGCTAAGTCTCAACTGATGCGGGGGCTTTCAAAGGTACCTCAAGGGGGAGTGAGCACTTCTCGGAGTGGTCCAGCAGACTGCTGCATTTGTCTGATATCAACTAAAGTAAAACTAGGCTGTGGGTCTATGGATTTGACAGTAAAACTGAAAAATAACGGAGTGGAGTACTTAAGAGCAGAGTAATGAACCCTGAGCAGGTGTACTGCATACCCCGAGGGCAATTTACGCCGCGGTAAGTCTTGTGGGAAAGAATTCTGAAGGTGATCATGGCCCAAAATGGATAGTGGCCAAGACAAAGCGAAAATCTCCAAGAACAGTCTTGTTCTGATCAATTTTCTTTTTTGGGGGTAAACCACCTAATGGGAAATTTGGTTCGTATCGCTGGAAGCCGAGGCTGAGACTTATTAAAACAAAGGGGGCATCAAGAAAAGAACTACATGCAACCGTTTGATAAAACCGGCCAAATTACATGAAAGTGATGTTTGATATTGCCCTTAACATGTGTATGTATTTCGAATCCCCGATAGTAACCATCCGTCCAGTAACATAACTAAGGTGTGGCGAGCTGCCAACTCGTAAAATGATTTTCAGTAGCAGCTGTGAGTAGTATATTTTATTTGAAGCCGTAAGACAGGCATGCTTTTGCCCTCATGCAATCCACGGATGGGTTCTTCTGGTTTGCTTGCTCCGAAAGTCCCAATCTTGCAGAAGTTCTTCGTTTGTAAGAAATACAACACCCTCCCATCAAGCTTGACGGTTGGATCGCAGTCGTTTCGACATCAATCGTGTTGACATCATCAGTGCGGGCTTGAGGGAGACAGCCCAGAAGATTTTACCAAGGTTGGTAACGGAGACGTCTGCAATCCAACTGCCCAGTTCAAAGGATAGACCGAGAGACAAGCAGCATATCCAAGCTAGGTAAACTCATCGAAGGATTTTACACAAGTTACTAGGCGGATGAAATTTTTGGGTAATGAAAATGGGGTATAACATCATAGCAGGTACACTCAGCACCAGATGAATGACGAGTTATCATCTGTTACTATGTTTTGTTATCTAGCTTAGGCAGTTTCGCGACGTATTGTAACCGTATTGCACGTTCGAAATTTCTGCCTTGTCAGACTGTCGCTCAGGTGAAATTAGCCGGTAACCATAAGAGCTGATGACGCAAATAGGGAATACTGTAATAGAAGGGATTTTGTTGCGCGAGTGAAACCAACCTATGCTGAAAAGCCGAGAGGCGTTGTACAGCTGTTTCATCCCTATTGGAGGAAACCCCAATAGGAAGCTTTGAACCTGGGACCTATCGGTTGGTGATTGGAACACGTGAACTTCCGCTCACGAGCGGCTCGTGGCCGAAAGTTTTCAGCATATGGGCAGTGGGAGGTCGCGGGTCAGAAACTCTACTGAAGTTTCGTGATATGCACACTGTCGATGATTCCCAATAGGGATGGACAGCTGTACAAGCTTCACGGACTGTTTGGAGGCCAGCCGTCCCCGATAGCCGAACATCACATTATTTGGACGGATGTGTCACGTGCAGGATATGAACCAAACGAAGGCATGCCCTGATTGGTCAGAATGTCAGCCAATCGGGATCGAGCACAGTTGGCTCGATGCTTTTCGCCCCCTCACAAATATTCTAGTACAACCTCGTCAAACATTCTTCATCGCCTTATAAACATGGTTGTAATAATTTTCCTTCGTCTCCATAAAGGACTGCCTAGAGCTACCGCGCCTTCTGAGATACCATAGCGCGTGGAGCTGGAAGCCAAGGACCGGTACAGAGTTGCCCGACCGTTCAGCAAGTCACAACACGGACAGGAAGAAATTTTTGTTTGAATTCCAAAACCTCCTGACACCAACAACAAACGCAATAGAACTGGGGTTCTCACCTGACCTGTAAATCGAAGCAAAGGGCAAAAATCGTCCCACTGTGACGTTTCCCACTCCTTGTTGATGAAGCTACCTTCTTGGTACAGTTATGGGAAGCTTGTTTCCTCAGCTAGTAGTCGACACTCTAAAAAAATTGTCTCAAAGTCTCCTTTTGGTCAATTATTCTTTGACAGAGTGCTTTAAAGTTACGCCCTTAGTGATGCAAGTGTAATAACTCATGTAGTGGTAAATACAGAGCGGTTAATTCTGTTGAAGAGACCAAATGAAACGTATTCCCTTTGTTCTTGCACGCGGGTGCTCGGTCCCTGTTTTGTCAGTAACGTCCCAAGTGTAGTCTGTAGAACGATTGTTGCTAGCTGTTTCCAGTGGCGACACATTTATTCGTATGCCATGTAAAACCCGAGAAGCTCTTCATCGCCTGATACCCGCAAGTTGTCAGTATTTCATCCTGGTAACCATGGCACAGTCGGATACAACTCTAAGTCCCTTTTAGACTTTTCTCAGACAAATCATTTTTACGAGGGCTTCCTGGCGCCAACCCTAATTGTTGCGTAATTACTTAATTTGGGCGTGCATTTGTTACATGGCCCCCAATTGCTCCTACTGTGTGTTGACTACAACATCTGTTGCCTCTCATAGAGTGAGGCTGTACTCAGGCTAAGGTAATTTCGTAATACTGTGTCACGAATTAGTGAACGACCAGCTGTTCTGTGGCCTAGGGTCTTACGTTCCACGCAGAAGATCAGGGCGATGAAGCGAAGCGTACCGCATGACGTGTATGCGTGTAAATTCATGTCGATGAGGTTAGGTTGAAGAAACCAAAATCTGTCTCCGGTCTTTTCAAACTACCGTACACAAACGTCCATCACATGCAGTCAACATTGTGTCGTGATGCGTTATGGGCCCCTAAATATGGGTTCAACTATCTAATTCACTGCAACATCTCGGTTGTTGTTCTGTTCGCTGAGCTTGGCAGTTGGATTGCATACGTTTGATCACCAATCGAGATGACATCGTCAGTGCACTCAACCTTGCAGAGCACCCGAGCTACCTACACTCCACAACGTCACTGAAAAATCTCTTAGAGGTCCTTAAAAGTGACTGGAAATAGTTGACTTTTGGTAATAACTTTGGCAAAGTATGGTACCTTCGTGAGATAAAGTTGGTACGCTTACTAGTAGTGTAATGAGATTTGGTTTTTTTGTGGAGATTTCGTTTTCAAGGTATAGCTAATCTATGCTGAAAAGCCGAGAAGCACCGTACAAATGTTTCATCTTTATTTGGAATCATCAGCAGTGCGCATCTCATGAACCTCCAGGGTGTCTCGAACCCGCGACTTCCACGCCAGTAGTTTGATAACTTAACCTTTTGGCCACGAGCGGCTGATCAGCAATGTGATTAACTCGCACTTAGACAGGATATAGCGCCGCTTATCCTTCAATCACGGGGTCCAAAGCACGTGGTCACAAGTGCTTTGTGGCTCCTTGAGCAACGATTTCTCAGATGGTAGTTTCACTAATCGGGTTAAGTTTATTGTTCTACCGAGCTACTTATAGATTTTTTGGTGGTGTGAGGATATTTGTTTTTTTTTGTGGTGACTTAATCAGTGAGGCATGATGCATTTTTGTTCCGGTTCAACGAGAGTAGATTTAGCAGGATAATCTTTGAGACTACTGATATTCACCAAGTAGTAGGTCCCCAACTTTAGTGCAGTGTAATAGAGAAGGACAGCTTTGGGAACTGGATTTTCAAGTCATTTCAGTTCAGGTTATATTCAAGCCGGCTTTGCTTTGGACTAAAAGTAGATTATTTGTTGTCCAGTAAGCCATTTTTTTTAAAGTTTGTCCAGATGCATTTTTATTTGTTTATTGGTCCTCAAGAGTTGTAACCAAAGCTGGAATCACGAAGGCATATTCAGTACACAGGAACAGTCTGTTTTTCTCAACTGGGTTGTCAGTCGTACCTGAACAAAAAACGGCGAGGCCAACTTCCACATGAATACACTTACTGAATCTTATCCTACTATAGTCGGTAGTATCGATTGTATCAAGCCCCGTCGCACAAGCCCAATGGACGGAAGGGCAAATACTCAACAGCAGACGAATGTGGCATCAAAGTCGATTGAACTAACGGAACTTTCCCATGAATGCATCAAATGTCACTGGCCGGTTCTTGTGGATACAAATAAATTATCACCTCTGGGACAAGAACGATGACCCAGTAACTGTCCTGATTGTACCGAGCGACTGACCTACCTGTCAGGACTTTCCGGTCAGTAGTGTGACGGGCGCTCAATTTTGAATACGTTCGTAGTAGTTCTGGCGTGTGATGATACGCATGTTAGTTATTTGGAATTCAGAAACAAGTATATGTACCTCTAATGAGTTCTAGCAACGGCGAAACTCGGGTCTCGTACTTCGGCCCTCTGGTGTGGACCCAATAGAATAACTGCTCCAGAACAGGAGACGGTGGTGTGAGAGGGCGTGAGTGCGCACACAAAGATCAAGAAGGACACGAGTTTGACTGGAGTGGCGTTCGCGTACTGGCTCAAGCAAGAACAAAACGAAAACGCGAATTTATGGGAGCGTGGTACTCCACCGAAGAAGCCATCAAAAAACATATCGGAATCGATCGCATTTAGCAACCCCTAAGAGCGACAGAACGCCAGAACCACAGAGCTTAAAGCTGCAAAGGCGACAAAACGAGGAACTCATAAGAGAAGCGGGAAAGCGTCATTCAAACGGGCACATCCATTGGATTGGAGGAGGCGCCCAACCAAAGCACCTAATCAACCGGCGGACGCAGGGACACTAACCGCCACGGTGGAGGAAATAGGGCGGTATAAGCAACCAATCAAACTCGAGAACGGCAGACCACAACGCAATTCGAATCAAGGCCAGGGAGAACGAGCCACTAAAATTAGAAGTCTTTGGGATAACCAATCAAAGCAATAAAGATCACAAACGGACCAATAGATTCACTAAATTTGTTTCACTTCAAGCAGCCAATCATGTCAGAAAATAACAGATAGCCTTTGACTGCTACGTAAACACACGCAGGCAAGGAAGACGTACTCACCCAACTGTGCACTGATGATGTCTCCTCGTATGATGACGAAACGTTTGCAAGCCAATTGCCAAGCTCGGCGAACAGAACAACAGCCACCTGATCAACAACCAATAAACTCACCCGAGCTACCAATAGTTCACCACATTCCATGAGTTACTCGAATCAAGACACGGTTAATTTCCGGACATTCCACGTGTTTATCTATCGGTGAAAATGAAAAAAACAAACTGATCCCGCTCATAGCTCTTTGGATCAGTTTGTCCCGAGATCAAAGACGTTAGATTCTCCTGCTTCTTGTTTTAGTATAACAACCAGTAGACGATCCTAATCCTTTCTCGACTGTTTCGTTTTTGATCTTCTGTTTCGAGGAATGCCCTCAAGTTAGAGCGATCAAGAGTGAAAGTAAAAATAAAAGTTGAGACGACAACTTGTAATCTTGTGGGGCGTGTAAATGTTGTGTCTACTGGCCACCAGTACGCGTCATCGAACAAAACTCCACTCAAAAGCTTCAACTAGTAAAGAGAAGAATGGAAAGTCACTCGTATAATCTTACGATGATGGCTTGTTCAACTTCCAGACATCATGAACCAACAGTGAGAAAGGAGATCTACGTCAGTTGGGTCTTGATAAATAAAGTTAGAGAAATTTGGTCGGTTCTCCTAGCCTGTGATTCATTTTCTACAGCCTGTGGATCCTGGAAGATGTCGCATGTTTAGAATACTTTCGCACCACGTCGGCGACGGTGATCTGGCGCGCTCGAGCCGTCAGTTTTTGGATAAAATTTTACCCAAAGCAACTGACAGCCACTTGTTGTTATGCGCAACCTTTTGTTTCGAGGATTAGCTACAGGTGAATGATGCAAAAATTATAACTGTGATCCAAGAACAATTATCTCGAGCCTTCCAGGTGCAGATGATGAGGTCACAGTCCTTCGCCTATTTTGGATACTGACAACTTTGCACAGATCTGCCAGCTTGCCAAAGGATACAACAAGCGGCCAGATTGTACACAGCATACAAGGATCTTGCATGTTCAAAGGCTGCCTCGCTAACTGCGAACCGATTTCCAAACCAACTATTGTTGGGGAAGTCCTAAACAGACCGTAAACATATTCTTGATGATTTATTTGTAATATGATATCAAATCATAGAGAGACGAGTTTCGAACTACGGTCAAGCTACAGTCGCCGACGAACTGTTGTCGTGAACTGACTGGCGCATACTAAGAACCCGCGATTCCTGTTTTTAATTGCATTCGGAGTTTCCATGCTCACTAATGAATTTAAACAAATTAAATCAATGATCTCGCGAGTCATTTTCACACAGAGGACCCAGTCGTGCAGGTGATAACGATAAAGGTATGGATGGTGAGGATGGCGAGGACGCCGATGCCAGCGACCAGAATAAGCAGGAGAAACGAAAAAGATCTCCGTTGAGTTGCAAAGCCAATTCGGTGGACGGTCAGACAAAAAATATCAACGCGTGCTTTATCAGTCCGAAAGTCAGTCTGAATCAAGCCAAATGAAAGGAAGAAGGCCTTCGATGCGGAGTTATTAACTAGAAAACGTCAGCTGAACAGTTTACTGGACAAGGAAAAATCTTGTTTACAAAAACTGAACATCCGTCGTTTCCTTGAACACGTCTTCCCGAACTTTCCTAGATATTTACTGACTGTTGCTCAAATGCGAACAAATGCGTCTCCTCAAATTCCGTAATAAATCTCACTTTTCAAGAGACAAAGCGAATTTACGAGGAAACATACTACTCGCATGCCGCATTAGTAGTATACACCGTTACACACCCTCCCCTTTAAAGGTCATTCGCCTGCCGCCGGTTTCCATTTAGCTCCATCAGCCTGGCTCCAGCAGTGGGTCTATTCGGCCGCTCTCCGGGTGGATCATGCCACTTACGAAGCTGCGCCCCATTTACTCTTTTCGATCCCCGACCGTCTTGAATTGCATAGACGTCCCCCCGGTGGTCGGTAACGACAAACGAAACATTTCCTAAACTGCCCACCTTTCGCGACCAGAGTACACTCCTTCCAGTATTCTGATGATTCTTCTACTTGACCTTCGCGCCGATGTGGGACGGTCATGCCTTTCTCAGCCTTCCGATCCGAGTCCATGGAGCATGCGTAAACACCAAGGAGGAGCTGGTGGCTGCTTGGGGTGAAAGTCTGCACAACAGCGCCGACGGTCGCGGTTTACGAGAGTTGGTC